ATACTAATTTTATTGGATTACCTTGATTGTGCAAGTTTGCACTTTGTGTTTTGGTTACTTGCAGATTATCGGGTATCAAGGTGGAGATTGTTGGGTTTTTTGATACCCAATAATCCCGGGCGATGATTTAAAACAGTTGTCGAATTATTTATCGACACCATGGACTTGCCTCGACTCGGAGACGAATTACACTTTTGAATGGCTCGAGTTTGGATTGAATGATTATTTGGTTAGTTGGACCATTTAGTGATTAATATGGAGTTGAAAATTAACCCATTAATTTAAGTTAATTGGTAGCTCACTTAGTGAACCTTAAGCCCAATTGGAATGACCTAAACTATACCTATATATATCCATCTATTCCAGCCGTTTTCTATGTGGATAATTGAACATGCAATTCTGAGTGAGTTTGTGTGTGGAAGAGAGGGCCGATAGGGTTGAGGGGTAGCCGACTTGGGAGGTTTGTTGGAGTGATTCCCACCATTGTTGCCTCCTCTTCTTCTTCCTATACCACCACCATCCCTTCTCCTTTGTGGGGATGGAGAGAATGAGGACTATCCAAAGTGAAGGCTAAAGTCTTGGATCGAGCCGATGTTCGTTTGATTGTTTTCTGAGCCCGGAATCAAGATCTATCGAGAGATTTCCGCGACATCAACGATTATGCATATGGAAAGTACACATGTAGCACTACCCTTAAAATAATGAAAGATCATTCAAGTACGACCCAATCAAGTCCAGCATACCAAATATACAGTCAATAGATCATTTAAGTAATGTTTCTCATATTGAAATAACTTAGTCCAACAACTTTCTTCAAGTTACAAAAAGGGACATCCAGAACCCCTGTTTATTTTGTTCCAGATAAAGATTTTTTGCCTGATAACTAACTTGAACTAACAAAAGGGAAAAATGAAAACAGAAAAAGAAGCGGTAAGAAAGAACAGAAGATAGCGTATAATCCTAAAACTTCACCCCAGAATGGATGGCAACGACACCTCCAACAAGATTTTCATACTCAACTTTTTGAAACCTGGCTTCTGCAATCATTGAGGCAAATTTCTCCTGCATGCATAAAATAAAATTTACCATTACAAATATGGGTAAAACCACGAAGGCAAGAACTAGTCTCAAAGAAACTGAACATATAAACCTCACTGAGCCCCTGTTTGACCCCCATTTTTTTGAACTCATTTTTTTACCACAAAATTCATGGGATCTACAACTTTTATCAACTTTTCAACCACACATTTCACCAACTTTTATCAAAATCTACTAAAAACTAGTTTCTATCCAAACCAAACAGGGGCTAAATATTATCATAGTCATAACAAGTGTTCACTTACATAAGAATAAATTTTAAAAAATTATCTTAGATAAATGTCCATAGACACAAGAATTTATGCTTTGCTTAAGACGCAAAGTGTCACTGTGACTGTGTGAGATAATGTTGGTATAATCAGAAAGCTGCAAGTAAATACTCCAGCCTACACCACCACTCTAGACACTGATTTTTTTATGCGTAGTATCAGAATAGATACACCAGTTCTGCATCTTGTTTAATTTTGGACGATGAAGTTGGTCAAACATGAACCTACTAGCATTCTTTATAACATCACCCATCAAGCACAAGATGACAAAATGACTTGAAGATAAAAGAACTAGACGAAGATGCAGATAGAACGAAGAAGAGGGCTATGTACAAGGGAGAACACACAAATCAATGCATAATAACCAACAAGGCTTAGTTCTTTGCAGAAGAAATGGATATCTAAATTTGTGATTTAGTTTTATCATTTAATGCACATTATGAGTTGAATTTAAATTCTCTCTTTATATATAAATATATATGTGTGTGTTTATTTCTTTTACAATTCAATGATCAATACCAATCAGAATTTCCCAAGTAAAACATGCACATGCACACGCCCATGACCCCACCCCTCAAACCAAAAAAGAAAAACATAAGAGGTAATAACAATCATAATATAAGAGCACGCATCAATGTAAATTCAATAGGTTTTGTTTTTCAGGTCTCAATTATCAAAAAGACGCAACAATTCTAATATAAAAGCATGCATAAATTAATTTCAATTTTTTTTTTTTTTTTTGGGTGGGATTTAGAGCATGTTTGAGCCCCTTTTTTTGGGAAATAATGTATTCTGGAATAGTGTTTTGATGAAGAATGTATTGTTAAAAATAAGGAAAAAGTTATGAATTTGCGTGTAATATTATTTTATTGAAAAATGTGTGGTTGAAAAGAAGAGAGAAAAATGTATTTTGAAAAAAAATGGGAATCAAACATGCTCTTAAACGGATGGCTTTGCACTGTCACAACCATACCATGGACCACCCACTAGACTCTGGCTGTTATTGTGACCAATTCAAGCACTTTACCTGTGAAGGGAAACGACGAATGCTCTCGACCAAATATTGATAAGATTCTCGATCGCCTGCAACTAGCTCTCCCAAGGCCGGAATGACCGAGAATGAGTAATAATCATACCTGACATGAGGAAACTTTAGCATATTATACCTATACAAAGTCAAAGGATGGTTAAAGATGCATGAAAACTGCATAGAATGAAGTGATATTTGAGGAACTTCTTGCTAAAGTATCCAGGACTTATTTAAAACCTAATCAAACAAATACAGTTTAAGCAACCAGTATTTTATGTGTATCAACTAAACAACAACTTCATGTAACTGTGTTCATACAAATGAACCCAGTTTGAGTGCCCACAGTAAGTGAAATAAGATAAAATGTTCAACAGCATGTATATGGCGCATAAAAGGAGCTAGTCGTTAAAAGTACTTACAACTCTTTAAACACTGGGAGTTCCACATGGCTCAGTTCAAGGCAGAGAATTCGTCCTCCCCGTTTAAGTACTCTGCAAAAAAAAAAAAAATTATAATAATAAATAAATAAATAATCACAATGGCACTATCTACAAGAGAACGGAAAGGGACCAAAATAGGAAATTGACCACAAAACCATAAATAAAAATGAAAAGGTGGGGGTTTTATTTGCTGAGCGTAAATGGATTAATCGAACAGGGATTAAGGGTGTATATTTATTGTTTCAATAGAATACTTCAGATCCTGCTTATTCTCAATCCAATACGAAACAGTGGCATTGAAGTAAACATAAGAAATTTCTTAACTAGTCAAAACATATATCAGCGAGATTATAAACAAGTCGCCAAGAGGTTCTGATGATGCTAAACTCCAAAGACGGGCCAAGCTATAAACCATACTAATTGGGTCTGTACTAGTGCTACAATCTATTAAAATCTACAGTACCATAAAAGTTACCCATGAAAAAATGAATGTCTATTTTCTATAAAGACGTGGTAGCCCATTGTTCTTTATAAGGTGCTAGATGATTAATAGTTCATCCCAAGTAAAGATTATTAAATTTCTGCAACATCCCTCTTTTATGAACTTGTATATAACTCTGTACAACATCTGACGAGGTATTCAGTAAATTCATAAAAAGAGGAATATATAAGAATTTCTTTTCAAGATGAATAACAGTGCAGATTCATGAATAAGTAGACTGCTGAAAATTCTCTCTAAGATTTTTTTCTAAGATTGTAATTTCAATTTTTAAAAACTCAGGCTTATATAAAATATACTCTGTGTGGGTGTCTGTGCTACTACATGTTACTTAAGCATTCCCATTTTCTGATGGCCCATTTTCCCTAGAGACCAAATAGAACAATTCTTCAGTCTCAAATAAGGTTTGCCTTCATAGATTTACAAATAATCCATGAAGGTTTAACGAAATATACTTTGGTTGTCAATATTTCACCTCCTTCAAGCTTATTAGTGACTGAATAACAAGATGGAAAAAGCACAGCATAACATAACGTGTACATGTTTCTAAAGGAAGAAGACACGCGTCTATGAATAAAAAGTAAATTAATAGCGAATACATTAAGTTTACAAATACTATATCAGTTTATAGGCCAAATAATATTCTAAGAAATTACATATCTCGAGCAATCTCTCATTCTCGCTCTTCCTTTACTCTGTGTGATTCATTAATATGCATGTACAAGACATATCAAAGTCAAGCAATAGAGATACGACCTTTTTGAGAAGATAAATGATCATGTTACAACTAGGTAAACCAAATTTACACAAAAGTCAAAAGTATAAAGCTTTAACCTGAAATTTACCCTTCTTTCACTTATATAGTCCACATGCTAGAGTCAATTAAACATTGTATAGCAGGAAATTCAAGCAATTGGTCCCAACCTTTGCCCTTGCATTTTTGGTCCAAACCTTTCAAATTTGGCACGGATGGTCCAAAAACTTAGCATTCTTGGCACAATTGGTCCTTTCGGATAGATTCTGTCCAAACGTGCCATTAGTTTTTGCACAGGGAATGCACATTCTTCTAAGGGTAAATTGCATATTTAGCCCAACCTTTGGCGAAGTAGCGACGTGTCTCTAAACAATTTTCTGTTCCCAATCTATGTTCCCAATCTATGTCCCTAACTATTAAAAATTAAAAAGCATAAGCCCCCCTTTTACATAGGGTTAAAACTACCTATGGAAAACATTAGAAAACCTAATAAATTAAATCTCATATTACTCAATAATTTCCACAAGGACAAAATCCTTTTTTTATAGGCCCAAAAATCCTTTTACAAAATAATCCATCTTCCTAATTATGTTTCCTAAATCAGTATCCAATTTGGAAAGTAAACAACTAAAAATCCTAATTATGTTTCCTACATGTAACCATTTATTTCTGTTTTCCTTCCTGATTCAAGAAGGGAGATAGAATTTGGATCATTGGGTAATATCATTTATTTTGTTTGATTCTGCATGAATTCCTAGTTCCAAAAAATAATCCTTCAAGTGCAAACCAATGAGAAATAATTTGTGTTCGTACTAATGTGTCTCCATGTTAGAGAACCCCCATACCCACCCTGTGCACTCACCTGTACACATTTAGTTCTATTCATCTTCCTAATTTCAAGGAAGAAGATGGAATTTTGAATCGATAAGGGCATGGACAGAGTGTACCTGGAAGAAGAATTGGAACAAACTAAAGCACTTAAATATATTTTCTTAGCAACAAATAGCTTTCAATGATAATCAGCAGCCTTATACAATGATTAGACAGTGAACTCTATAATAACTCACAGCTTGATCATTCCATACTTTTAAGAAATGATCCTTTGCCCGAGTAAGTAACACTACATGCAACAACAAATACAAAAAGTTGATCCAGAAGATAACCTGTAAGCTTCTGCTAGAGCTTTTTCTATGTGTGTGACATTCCTAATTCCAAAAGCAATTGTGTAACCATCCATTGAATCATCTTCAAACTTCAGGGCTTCTGCATCTCCTTCCAGCCAAATGAGAGATTTATTATCTCCAAAACCTGCATGTATCAAAAAGAAAATGCCTCTTTCAACAAAATACTTGCCACAGATTTAACATGTTCCCTGGTCAAAGTATCCTAAATAGAGTATTAACTTACCTCTCTCTTCAGCTCGCTTTTTCCCTACATTTAACATATTCGGGTTGATATCACATATATATATCTTGGTTTCTTCCAGCAAATTGTCATCATGAACATCTAGCATGGCCCTATTTTTGACACTATTTATATTTTCCAATATCCTGAAAGCAACATCCCCTGTAAAATTAGAAGAATCATCTTAATTGAGATGAGACCATGTCAATTAAACAAGCTCAGGTGCAATAAGGAAAATGTAGTGATGGGAGAAGCATGTGAAGGAAAAACATCCAAATTGAATATAAAATATAGATGATTTTCTAGATCAGCGTGGAATCTCAATATTTACAAGTACGGAAAAATTGCCCCATATCTGCTCTGCAGCTAGAATGGCAAGTGACGGGTGAACCTCTGTTTAGCACAAGTACGAAAAATTGCCCCATATCTGCTCTGCAGCTAGAATGACAAGTGACGGGTGAACCTCTGTTTAGCCATTCATTACAGTCACATTAGATTAAATTTTTTTGGCAGTATATTATGGTTGCTCAACATCTCATCATAGCAGGATTCATTTTATGAAGAATCCCATATGAAGAAGACCTCGAGTACGATAACTCAAAAATTGGAAGAAGTAGCATACAATAAGAGTTTGTGGATAATAGCATTCATGCAGCACATAAAAAATTTCCTTCATTTCTGTTAAGACTTCTTGATTCCTAAAAAAGAACAATATTCAGAGAGTGGTATACTAAGCAGTTCACAACTCATATCAATACTATTTGTAGAAATTCAGAAATATCTATGTATGGGATTTACTAATTATTGTTTCCTTCAATAAAGGATTTGGGCAGATTGTTACCCAAATTCCCAGTTTTCTTAAATTAGTGATTTACCTTGTTTAGAGGAATTAGTTTAGAAAAGATTTTACCATATCCCATGATTAGAGGCTGAGATTATGTTCTCTTCTCTATTTATTTTGTAAGATTTCTCCATTATGAAATAAGAGGAAATTATCAATTTCTTTATGGTATCAGAGCTTTTCTAAATCCTTTTCTTCCTCGTGACAAAATACGAGATGGCAACTGAAAGGCAAAGCTCCACGTCTGAAGTTGATTTTGAAATTGAAACTGTCATCAAAAGTTCTAATGGAGGATCTGAGAGCAGCCCTCGTCCCATCACCAGCCACAAATTGAACGGTCACAACTTCCTCCAATGGTCCCAATATGTGATGATGTTCATCTGTGGAAAAAGCAAAGATGATTATCTCACTCGAACAATGACCACTCCAAAGAAAGAAGATCCAGCATTCAAAATCTGGAAATCTAAAAATAACAGGGTAATGTCCTCACTTATTAACTCTGACCAACGAAATTGGGGAAAATTTTCTTCTCTGTGGTACAGCAAAAGAGATTTGGGATGCCGTCAAAGAAACATATTCCAGTTCTGAAAGTTTTGAAAATACACCAGAACTATTTTCTGTTGAGAGTACCCTTCATGATCTGCGGCAGGTAGATTCTTCTGCAACCCAGTACTTCAATTCCTTCAAAAGTATCTGGCAACAACTTGACCTATTTGAAGTGTACGAGTGGAAATGTCCTGGAGATGAAGCTATGCACAAGAACATCATCGAAAAGAAACGTGTGTTTAAATTCCTCATAGGATTAAACATGGATCTTGAAGGAGTACGTGGAAGAATTTTAGGAACAAAGCCACTGCCATGGATTCATTAAACTTGTTAGGGTGCAAGCCGACAGAAACTCCCATGGATTCATCAAACTTGGAAACAAGGATGATAGGGCTCCAGTGGATAAGGGTAGGTATCAAAGACTTGTTGGCAAGTTGATTTATCTCTCCCACGCTAGACCATTTTCAGTAAGCACTGTCAGTCAATTTATGAACAATCCTACAGAGAAACATATGAAAGCTGTTTATAGAATCTTGAGGTATTTAAAAATGACACCAGGAAAAGGGCTACTTTTTCAGAAGAACTCAAACAGGAAGATTGAAGAGTTTACTGACGCTAACTAGGCAGGTTCGGTTACAGACCGTAGATCTACTTCAGGATACTGTACTTTTGTGTGGGAAACTTGGTAACTTGGCGAAGTAAAATTCAATCAGTAGTTGCTCGAAGCAGCGCTCAAACTGAATTCAGAGCAATGGCTCATGGAATTTATGAAGGAATGTGGGTAAGAAGACTTCTAAGTGAATTGTGCATTTCTGTAGAAGAACCAATGACTATGTTTTGTGATAACCAAGCAACAATAAGCATAGCAAAAAATCCTGTACGCCATGATAGGGCCAAACATGTTGAGATAGATGATCACTTCATCAAGGAAAAGATAGATATAGGACCATAACTCTTCAACATACTTCCACTCGCCAACAAATTGCAGAAATTCTCACCAAGGCCCTTCCTTGGACAAACTTTGAAGAATTGAATCTCAAGCTGGGAATGACAAACATCTATTACCCAGCTTGAGGGGGAGTGTGGAAATTCAGAAATATCTATGTATGGGATTTACTAATTATTGTTTCCTTCAATAAAGGATTTGGGTAGATTGTTACCTAAATTCCCAGTTTTCTTAAATTAGTTATTTACCTTATTTAGAGGAATTAGTTTAGAAAAGATTTTACCATATCCCATGATTAGACGCTGAGATTATGTTCTCTCTTCTATTTATTTTGTAAGATTTCTCCATTATGGAATAAGAGGAAATTATCAATTTCTTTACAATTTAATAGCAAGAATCAATCTTATATATGTGTGAACATAGCAACTGAATAACACAAGCATGATATAGTTATAACACACCTGTTCCACCGGCCACATCAAGATGCTTCATTCCTGGAAATGGATTCAACTTGGAAACCAACCTACACATTTTTAACAAGAGAACACAGTCCACAGAGAATATATACAATTATCACACGCAACTGTGAATGACCATTAACTAATAGCGATAACCTAATCACCAAAAATTATAAGGGGGGCAAAAAATAACCTGTCTTTCCATAATCTATGTAGACCACCACTCATCACATCATTCATAAGATCATAGCTTGAAGACACGCTTGTGAAAACGTTACCTACCATTTGGCTCTTTTCCTCTTCCCGAACTTCCTTAAAACCTGGAACAAGAATGCCATTCTAAAATCAGTTATACACAAAAATTTATAGATCTGTACTATATAAGTACGCAGAACCACACACAAGAGTAGATGTCTCTATGAGTCTATATGTATGGGCGCGTATTGGAAGGTAGAAGGAACTGACCGAAACTGGTGGCATGGGAGTGCAAAAATGAACGTGAATTGTTAAGCGGCTGTATATTATTCTTCCTCAAGCTACGAGCAATCGATCGTAAAGCTGTCGCCATGAAACCCCAAATTTTTTCAGACTTTTCGCAGAAAATGTTCAGTATAGAACTAAATAACGTTAGGTTATCTCCGTGAGAGGAATTGCTTCTATGCCTAGAGAGTGATAAACTTAGGCATTCTGCACCGTAAGGGATGAACGGTAGAGGATGCACTGGATACCGCCGGGTGTCTGGTCTCCAACTGGAAAAATTAGGGCTGGAGAAATCAGCGTTTGGATTCGAAATCTTTGAAGTGATCTTCGATTTTGATTTATCCTTTAGGTTCGGTTTGCGGGTGAGAAAATGGTGGTGTCAATGGCGGAGGAAATGGGGTGCCGGTGATGTAACTATTTTCCAAGTGACATCAAAATTGATATAAACTTAGATGTGTTATAAAATGAGACGAAAAGAGAATAGAGAAAATTCAAAGAGAGTAGAGAATATTAAATAAATTTTTTATGTACTATTGAAAATCAAAGCCTCATATTTATAGGTAAGAATCAAGGATATAATGGTAATAATTTTTAGGGTTACAGGGCTGCAAATGTCATTCACCAATAAACTTTAATGGATTTTTCATTTACAACACTCCCCCTTAAATAACATATTACAAAATATCTGTCTCATTAAAACTTTGTTTGATAAAAATCCAATGGGAAAAAAATCAAACGAAGGAAAAAGAGTACAATTATTTTGGAGTATTAAAATTAAATGATGCCTCATTAAAATCTTGCTATGAAAACTCAATGGGACAAAACCTAAGCGAAGGAAAAAAAGTACAGCTACTCCCCCTGATATTGATCATTGAAAATCTTTGAATCGACGCATTCCAATCTCATGAACTAATTTCTTGAATGTAGATGTTGGCAGCGCTTTTGTGAATAGATCAGCCACATTGTTACTTAAGCGAATTTGTTGAATATCAATGTCACCATTCTTCTAAAGTTCATGTGTATGAAAGAATTTTGGAGAAATATGCTTCGTCCTATCGCCTTTGATACAGCCTCCCTTGAGTTGTGTAATACAAGCTGCATTATTTTCAAACAAAATTGTTAGACTATCTTTTGTTGAAGTCAATCCACATGATGATTGGATATGATGGATCATATTCCTCAACCATACACATTATCGCCCTGCTTCATGGATTCTAATAATCTCAGAATGATTTGAGGATGTTGCTGTCAAGGATTGCTTCACAGATCTCCATGATATAACTGTTCCTCCACGTGTAAACACATATCCTATTTGTGATTTAGTTTTATGTGGATCAGAGAGATAACCTGCATCTGCATATCCCACCAAAGCAGATCCTAACTTTTGAGAATAAAACAGTCTCATATCAATAGTACCTTTTAGGTAACGAAAAATATGTTTAACATCATTCCAATGCCTTTGAGTTGGTGTAGAGCTATATCTTGCAAGGAGATTTACAGAAAAAACTATGTCAGGTCCAGTGCAATTTGCAAGATAAGTTAATACTCCAATTGCACTAAGGTATAGTACTTCAGGACCAAGAATCATTTCTCCATCTTCAAGTGGACGAAATGGATCTTTTTTCACATCAAGTGATCGAACAACCATAGGTGATGGCAATGGATGTGCATTATCCATATAAAAGCGTTTCAAGACTTTTTCTGTATAAGTAGATTGATGAATAAATAATTCCTCTGGAAAATGTTCAGTTTGTAATTCAAGACAAAATTTGATTTTCCCCAAATCTTTCATCTCAAATCCCTTCCTCAAATAATATGCAGTTTTGTTGAGCTCTTCAGGAGTTCCAATTAAATTTAAATCATTAATATAAACTGCCATAATTGCAAATTCAATATTTGTTTTCTTTATGAAAACACATGGGCAGATATCGTCATTTTTATAATCCTCTTTCAACAAATATTCGCTAAGGCGATTATACCACATGCGTCCGGATTGTTTCAATCCATATAATGATTTTTGCAATTTAATTGAGAACATAGTTCTCGGACATATATCATTTATTCCTGGCACCTTAAATCCTTCAGGGACTTTCATATATATGTCACTGTCAAGTGAACCATATACGTAGGCAGTTACTACATCCATAAGGCGCATATCGAGCCCTTGTGACACGGTCAAACTAATTAAGAACCTAAAAGTGATGGTATCCATTACGGGAGAATATGTTTCCTCATAATCAATTCCCGGTCTCTGGGAGAAACTTGAGCTACTAATCGGGCTTTGTATCTTGTAATTTCATTATTCTCATTTCTCTTTCGTACAAAAACCCATTTGCATCCAACAAGGATTACATTTTCAGGTGGTCAAACTACTAGTCCAAACACTTTTCGTTTCTCCAAAAAATTCAATTCTGCATGTATAGCTTCTTTCCATTTTGGCCAACCATTTCTATTTCGACAGTCATTAACAGACTGTGGTTCCAGATCCTCATTTTGCATAATATCAATAGTCATGTTAAAGGCGAAAATATTGTCTATAACAATATTATTTCGTTCCTATAATTTATGAGATATCATATAATTTATTGAGATCTCATTATTTTCGGACACCTCTGGTTCTTCAGGAACCGTACATTCAATATTTGATTGATCAATCTTTTCTAATGTGATTTTTTCTGAAGTTTTTAGTTGATTTTTCTCCTGTACTCTTCTTTTTCGAGGTACAGAGTCTTTTGAACCAACTGGTCGACCACGCTTCTGACGTATTTGAGATTCATATGCCACAACAAATTGTCCTGCAGGGACATTAATTTTTGCTGGAATATTTTCTGTTGGAATATATGACTTTATCACTTTTCTCTTGTCAACAAATACATCAGGTAGTTGAATTGCAACTCTTTGCAAATGAATGATTTTTTCAACCTCTTATTCATATTGATTGCTGCGAGGATCAAAGTGAGATAGAGTTGTCTCATTCCAAGAAATTATATCTTGTTTTTCAGGATGTAGTTTTTCTCCTCCCAAAGTTGGGAAAGTTATTTCATCAAAATGACAATCTACAAAATGTGCAGTAAATAAGTCACCTGTTAAAGGTTCAAAATATCTAATAATAGATGGTGAATCAAAACCCACATAAATCTCAAGTTTTCGTTGGGGACCCATTTTAGTACATTGTGGAGGGTGAAATAGGAACTTGGACAGCACAACCAAAAACCCGTAGGTGAGAAATATCATGTTCATGACCAAATGCAAGTTACAAAGGTGAATATTGATGATAGGCAGTTGGTCTTATACAAACCAATGATGCAGCATGTAATATGGCATGACCCCAAACGGAAGTTGGGAGTTTTGTTTTCATAAGTAATGGTCTAGCAATAAGTTGTACACGTTTAATAAACGATTCCGCTAAACCATTTTGTGTATGAACATGTGCAACTGAATGTTCAATTTCAATCCCAATTAACATACAATAATCATCAAATGCTTGTGATCTAAATTCACCAGCTGTTGACACGCTAAAAGTGCAGCCCAAAGAATGAAGCCCAACTGGGCAATTCAAGATAAAGGCCCGAATAGGGTTATCAATGAATGCAGTGAAAGTCCACGAACGCGGTAACACTATCGCCCAAACTTGCAAGACACCCAAGATCTAAGCGAATGAAGTGCCTTGCAGTCGCCCAGAGTTATGGTCCTGTTCTTGCCCAAACCTTTGAATCACCCAGGATCTTAGCAAATATAAGATGTTATGGTTATCCAAAAGTGCAGTTATCGAAGCAGTTATTAAGTAATCTCATCACGTTCCACGATTCAAGGATGTTCAGTTGAAGACAGTTGAACGACAAAGAGTAGTGGTAGCAGTTAGAGACAGCAGTTCCACGATAAGTTGGCCACCATAAAAAAAGTAGGCAGTTATAAAGCAATTAAGCGGTTGATCACGAAGAGATCATCAAGGGAATATAAAAGGAAGAAAAGGCATAGAGCAAAAGACCCCGAATCAAACACTCTCAAACAGAGAATATGTAATTTCAATTCCTTAGTTTAGACTTAAAATATTTCTTTTCAGTACTCGCGTGCTTGCGCCCCTTGGAGGCATTCTGTTTAAAGTTCCAATTGTAAAGTCATCACCAATAAAACACCCATTTTTGGGACTTTGTCTCAAGAGGTTTGTTCCTTACACAATCGTCTGATCCCTTTTTAATTGTCAGCGACTACCCACGCGAAACAATTTGGCACGTCCAGTGGGACATTGGTGTTCGGTGTTGAAGATACAAAAGGTGAAACAATATGCCTCAGAAATTCGATAAAGAAGCAGCAAGTCGAGGAGGAGTCCAGTCTGTGATCGAGCGATACGAGGAGCAGCATAGCTCTCCACAAACAGATGGACAGAATCAGAGCAATCATAGTCGTTACGAACCAATAACAGAGTTGAGTCCTCGAACCATGCGTACATTACTCGGAGAACTCACACAAAATGTCGTTGAACAGGTAAATCTACGAAATATTCATAATATGGAAAGATTTACCCAGAATGGGAATCACATTATGACAACATGGCCAAACAACTGAATACTTTGAACAAAATAATGAATAAGTTAGTAGGCCAAATTTGTCAGCCAGTTGTGCCTCTTACAAACTACTTTCAAATTAGGACAATTGTGAGACATAATCCCCCGGTCCTAAGTTTAAATCAAGGGGTAAAACCACCTTTTGATCCCTCTATTTCAAACCAGGGGGTGGTATAATACCAAATCAGAATAGTGGCATTGGTACATCTAACTTGGGGGGTAACCTAAATGTAAGAAATAATGTCGTAAATAATGGACAGAATACCCCACGTGTTAATGATGGAATATATGTTCAGGCTAATGGTAACAATGGCCCAAATCATGGTAACTTTGTTGCCAATCAAGGACCAAATATCAGGCCTCAAGCAAATCAACCGGTCAACCAACCTGTAGGAATCTCATATGACCCCAACGTCATGTTGATGAATCAGATTATGAAAATCGTACAGGACCATATGGCTTTTGGAGTACGTCCTGTCATTAAGCCGACTTACATAAAGTCATATCCTGATTGAGTAGACCAAGCATATCCATGGCCTAGAGGGTATAAAGTGCCAGAATTCTGACTGTTTTCCGGTTTAGGAGAGGTGTCTACTCTAGAACACATAGAGTGATTCACACTGCAAAGTGGTAACGTAACTGATTACCATAAAATGAAGCTATTCCCTAATTCATTAACAGGAGTAGCATTTTCCTGGTTCATCAATTTGTCAGGAAACTCTATTCAAACATGGCAACAATTGGAGCAATTGTTACACGCTCAGTTTTATAAGATTGAGTCTAAAGTTACTTTGGCCGACTTGGTGAATCTATGTCAACTGCCAAACGAATGGGTAGAAGATTTCCTTCAAAGGTTCAAGACAGTAAGAAGTAAATGTTTTGTACCT